AGATAGATAGATAGATAGATAGATAGATAGATAGATATAGATAGATAGATAGATAGATAGATAGATAGATAGATAGATAGATATATAGTAGATAGATAGATAGATAGATAGATAGATAGATAGATAGATAGATAGATAGGATAGCAATAAGATTTATGTATTGCTTCGTGGTACTGTTAGTTTGCAGTTAACATCTTGCGCTTAACAATCTGGGTCCTCATTTTACTGACCTTAGCAAGATGAAAGATTGAGTCAACCTTGAGCAGGTGCGAATCAAACCCCTGGCACTGGAATGCAGAGTTAGCCTGCAATACTGCATTTTAACCACCACATCACCGCTAACACTCTTATAAGAGTTTAAGAATCTCTTTCATTCTTAAATCAGCCAGAGGGCAGGATTCTGTTCGCTGGGTGTCCTCTTTATTAAAAACCAGAAACTTATTTTGCAAAATGAAAATGGACTATAAGGAGGAGGCCTGAAACAGCCCCGCCGAAAACCACACACAAACTCCATAACCTTTTTTATTCTCCGACAAAGCGCCAAGAATCACACAGAAGCAGAAGAGGTGGGGGAAAAAAAAAAACAAATCAATACAAGAAAAACATTTTATTGTTAGACCTCTTTGCATAACCAGGCCCAGAAGGGAGGAAACTTGAGTTTTGAATACTGAGGAATGTATCTATATTGCAGAAAACGAGATCCAGATATGTAGTTTTTTTTTGGGAGGGGGGAACATTTAAACAGAGGATCCGTCTGGTGATCCCGGAATGCATGTCTGTATTTCAGAATCTTATCTGAATTATTAATGCAAATGCACACATATTAATCCTCCTCACTTTGCTTTTTTTTAATTTAAAGTGCAATGAAAGTGAAGATTGGAAACTTCGATGCAGGAAGCCGTTGCAGAACAAAAACGGAGCTCGGGAGCCTGTTTTCACTGGCAGAGTGCGTGGGCCACCACAGGTGCCTCCAACATGAATGAGGTTGAGCTGGCCACACCCCACCTGTCCCCCCCCTCCGAGGTCAAACACAACTGCGATGTGGCCCTCAGTGAAACCGAGTTTTTGACACCCCCGTTCTAGGAGAAAGGAGTAAACCCTGTTTGTAAATGCCGTTTAACGGGGTCATTCGGAGTTTCCAACTAACGCACCTTAACAGCATCTCGACGGGTCACTTGGCTCGAGACATAAATTTTAAAAAAATGAAGAATAACAAATTAGAGGCAAGAATAGGTTTCTCCCTAAGCTGGCAAAACCGAAGGACGATTCTGGAAGGATCTACCATCCCTCAGGGGTGAGTTATAAGTTCGAGCGGGCGCTTGCACAAAGAAGACCAATGCGATCCAGAGAGTCAAAACACCACAAAACCACATGAGATGGTGCAGGAGAAAAGCAGTGGTTTTTTTTAAAAACCTATAAAAACACAACTAGAACCGGGGCCTGGTAAACATCAGTCCTAGTCGAATTTCCAGGCTAAATTTGGACCCTTAAAAAAAAAAAAATATCGGGTGAAACCCTTGCTCTGGGATTTCGGATTCGGTAGCATATATGTGGGGATCTCTGCAGGTGGGTTCACAGTTTGGAAACTCGGTCCATGCCAGGATGGGGTGGGGATAATGGGATCAATCCTGGCTCCCAAAATATCTTGCAAATTGCTGCACCATTCCCCCAACCTGAACCCTGGAAGGGATCTCCCATCTTCCTCCTCCCTTTTCTCTCTCTTCAGGTAGACTTTTTGTCCGATTTCTGATTCTTCCACATCACGATGGTTATAAAAGTTCCTGAGGAGACACACAGAAAGAAAAGGAGAAATCTTCCACCGCTCTGGCCAAAGCAAACAGAAAAATTAAAATACAGGCCGCCCTCAACCTACAGCGAGTTCATTGAGTGACCGTTCGCAGTTACGACGGCATGGGAAAAGGTGACTTGGGACCCTTTTTCGCACTTACGACCGTCGCAGCCTCCCCGTTGGTCATGCGATCAAAATTCAGACGCTTGGAGATGGACTCATATTTATGATGGTTGTAGATCTCCTTCTAGCAAGCCAAGTCGATGGGAACGTCAGATTCGCCTAAGAACTGTGTTACTACCATGTTTCCCCGAAAATAAGACCCAGTCTTATATTTTTTTGCCACCAAAAAAAGGCACCAGATCTTATTTTCGGAGGAAGACATCCACTGACTAACCTCACATGCGCATGTCTTCCCCGGCCTCCTTTTTGCTGTCAAGAGGCCTTCAGCAACTTCTTCTGCAGCTGGCAAGGTTTTCCTGAAGGACTCTGGATCGATCCAGAGCTTTGTTCTCAGCTATGGAGGCCTTCAGGAAAGCCTTGCCAGCTGCAGAAGAAATGGGCCGGCGAGGCAGGTGTCGGGGTGTGCAAGGCCTGGCTACAACAGTCCAAAGGTAAGTAGTAGAGCAGTTCCACACACCCCCATCCTCACCCTAGCTTAATTTTCACCCGTCCACTCTGGAGTGGGCGGGATCTTAATTAGGGCTTATTTTGGGATAGGGCTTATATTGGATGCACATGTAAAAATCAAGCTAGGACTTACTTTCAGGATAGGTCATATTTTGGGGGAAATAGGGTAACTTCACCCCCGCAGGGATTCTTTTTGTGGCGAGAAAGGCCGTAAAACAGGGTCAAGTTCACTTAGCAAATGTCTCACTTGATGCTCTCTGAGCTTGCTTGAGAGAACCAAGGACCCCTTCGTCTCTACCCTGAGCTACAAATATTCTCCCTTAAATGTCCCACTTAGCCACAGGAATGCTGAGCTCAATTGCTGTCGTAAGTCGAGGACTATCTCGGATGCTTGATTAAAACTCAAAACGGATAAACAACTAACCAAGCTATGGGACAGTAAGGATTGAAATACACGAAGGGATAGATTTATAAGTTGGATGCCTGGTTTTCCTTCTTTTTCCCTTTCACGTCGGTTTCATTCCTTAGGTTTTGATTTCGACTGCCCAGAGCTTGTGCTTGTTAAATATCATATTAAAAGTTGAGGTTCCTGCAGGGCAGACGAGACAAACGAGACCGAAGGAAGGAAGGAAGGCCTTCTAACTAGCCTTACGAAGCGTTTTCAGCGGTTTCCTATCTTCTTTCAAGCCCCCCAAACTGGGACGAAACTCACCAATAAATAGCAACAACACCAGTCCGGCCACTACAGGAATGATCACTGAATATTCTCGGGGTAGAAAGTACTTGTGAATGAGGTGGTCGCTCTCAGTGAAGGGCTGCAGAGGAACAGAAAACATTTCAGTAGCGAGCAGAGGAAAAGGTTTTCACGGGTCCCTGAAATATAGCAGGTTGTCTTATTATTTATTAAATTTATCTTCTATATATATATATATAAAAAAGCAAAATACCAGTCATGCTTCATCAAAAAAATATCCAGTACTGTAAAGCTTACAAACTTGAAATTTGGCCCGTATGTTCCTCTTGGCTTCTAGAGGCTCACTAAGAAAGGATTTTTCGAAATGACCATCAGGGCATTTAGAGTATTCCCTATATTATTATTATTATTAACACGCTCTGATGTTAAGGAGTTCTACTCCCCCTCCCCACCTGAAAAGAAATCTCTTCCAAAGGCAAAACACAAGCAGAGGAGAGGAGTTTCAGTTTTAGTTTCACAGCAGCAACCAGCTTTAGTACAGAACAGTTGAGCTAAGCCACGCCCAGGCTCCTAGCTGCCTCCTCCTTCCTCACACAGCAAATACTGCTCCAGTTTCCAAACAGCCCTCGACTCTCTCTCACACTGACAGGACACTAGCCAGATGAATACCAATGGATGCTGGTAGGCATAGGCAGAATCCCACCCACCCCTATTTTTCTCCCCCAAAACGAAGCCCGACCGCATAGTTTCTCAGCGAAGCACAGGGACAGTGAGTATGTTGATAATGCAAAGTAGTCTTAAGGCACTTTCTGGAGATAATAGGTTAGCACAGTGGTGGCTACTGGGAAAAACCAACTTTGGGTGGATTGTCTAGCACTGATGATGTTACCTAGTTGGGTTGTGAAACGTTTGCAAGAAAACAGCCGAGACCAGAGAGCACCAAGGACCTGCTCATAAGCTACATTTTTTTAAGCTGTGCTTTTATTCCTAGATTCATATGGTTTTATTTATGTGGTGGTAAACCATCTAGAGTCACTTAAATGAGATGGACAGGGTAGAAATTTAATAAATGAATAAGTTGAATTAAATTACTGGTTATTCTCGTCCCTCAACATGTGAAGGGGAATTGGATCATTCATTGCTGTTTTAAGAGGACAGATCATCTATCTGTCTGTCTGTTTGTCTATCTACCTATTTCCATCCAACATCTACATCCATATCTATCTATCCATCCATCCATAGATCTATCATACAATCGTTTATCATTTATCTATCCATCATATATTCTCTCTTCATATCATATTTCTCTTTTCTCTTGTCTATCTATCTATCCTCTCCATCATATCTCTCTTTCTCGTCCATCTATCCATCCATCCATCATGCAATCATGTATCATCTACCTATCCATTGTATATATTCTCTATCATATCGCTTTCTCTTTTGTCTATCCTCTCTCGATCATCTCTCTCCTATCTATCATCTATCTATCATCTATCTATCATCTATCCATCCATCCACCCATCCACCTATCTATCTATCTATCTATCTATCTATCTATCTATCTATCTATCTA